TAAAGTAAATTTGATAATAAAACTATCAAATTATATACTTATTCATAATTCCTATGAGCAAATTATGAGGCAATTTGATATTTTATTCTAGTTAATTATATAAATATAATAAAAGTTCCCGTAGGAAAAAAAATTATTATATCAAGTATAATTAATTACAATTTAACATCTTTACTCTCTATGTGATCCTAAACTTAATATATAATTTCATTTAATTAAAAATGTTGTGGCTAATTCTTAATTAAACAAAATTATATGGATCACTAGACATTAACTCTCTTATGCATAAACGATTAACACCATATGAGAATAATTTTAATAGAAAAACTTTGATTAACATTTCTCATAAACATTGTAAATAGCACAAAATAATTTAACATATAATTAACTCATGTAAACTAAATATGAGCATAGTAAACTTTTCATAATTTAATTCATCCTAAAATTGCATATACTATTTTAAACATAATAATTAACATATGCATTCCGAATAATTAAACTCTAAAAAGTTAACCCACTAAATTAATTTTAAAAAATCCGCCCAAGAATTAAATTAGTGGAAATTACACCTAGTCATGTTTTTTAACTATCCAATTCAAAATTCATATTCAAACGTTTTTCGTTCAATAATCAGATGGTAATTCAAACTTTTAATATTAATATATTATTATAAAATTAATTAATCTACTTAACACAAACCCTAATAACTGTCTCTCTCTCATCACCGTTGGAGATACCGTCGTCGCCACATCACTCATGACATCGGTACCATGGAGCTCATGATGTTGGCACCACGCCGTGGCCCTCAATATTCCACCATCACAGCGACATCGCTCTGAAGTAGCGAACGTCGCTACAAAGCTATTGGGCCGCCCCTTTACTCCGAATCAGCCAGCGGTGTTGTGAACGCGTGGCGCTCACGACGTCGCCGTTCGCCATTCATGGCCTTTTTTTCGTAGTGGATATCATACATTGGGGATGCCACCACCGCTATTAGCCATAGAGATTCAGCGTATATGAGTGGCCCCGATCCATGGATCACAAATCTCGAAGAAGCCATTGGAATTGATCTTTGAAACCGCCCAGTCAGCCACAGTCAAGAGACTGTAATTCATGTCGATAGCATTCTGACCACTGATAATTTCCTCTTGGCCGTGAGATCTTGGTTTTTGTTGTTGTTGGAGTGGTGGTGACAATGGTGGTATTCATGTTTTGGTGTTGTTGGGGTTTTGAGATGGTGAGTTGGTGGTCATAAACGGTTTTGTTGGTGTTGGTGTTGGTGTTGGCGTATATAATGTCAATGTCACTATCGTCGCGGTGGTGGTGAAAACTGTGGCGGTTTTTGGTGGTGGATGCTAGTTTGTTTGAGATGGAGCACGTGGTGGTGGTGCTGCCAATTGTTGTGAAGTGGTGGTAGTGAATTTGGCAACGGTGGTATTGGCAAAGGTACTGCTAGAGGCAGTGGCGAATTGGAAGTCACAAATGGTGGTGGCAGCCACAAATTATTTGCTTAATTGTGATCAATAAATTGGTTAATGTATGATCAATGAAATAGATAATTTGTGACCAATAAATAATGTGTGAGCTAAAAATTTGTTAAGTTAATATGCGATCTAGAAATAAATTGTGATTTGTAAAATTTGTAATTCGTGTTTAAGAATTAATGTATGGCCTATTAATTTGATCAAAGGTTCACTTTCATTCATTTTTGATGATTTTACCCTTTTATTTAAATAAAATAAAAACAAAAGAAATGAAAAATAACGAACTAATTGCAACCAAAGTCCCAAATTTTCAAAAAATTACAAATAAGTTAAAAATATATTCTTAGAAAAAGAAAAACAAATTTTATTCATAACCTACCAAATTGGAGAGCATTGAAATTTATCAAAATTTCAATAAATTATATATGTGAATTTATGAAAAAAAAAACCCAAAAACTAGGGAAAAATTAATGGGTTTTGCTTAATTTTTCTTGGCCACTTCACATCTCAGGAAGTTGGTCTTCCAATCGCTCTGTGGGAAATTTACTTTTGACAGCTTAGATACAGAATCTTACTTAGCTCAATGAAGTACAAATTTGAACTGATATACATATTTACCAAGCAATTAAATTCTCAATGAAGCCATTAACTCAATGTACAATTCCCTGTATACAACATGAATGACAAACCCATAACTGTGCGTGTTAGTGCACCTTGATGATGTATTGTTCGACATCAGTTCGGTTATTTAGGGCGGCCCCTTGAAGAGCGTAGTAACCAAATGTGTCAGGCTCAAAAACGGAGCAACCCTCGCCCTCAACCAGCCGCTACAGCTTCTCCATGCCCCCATAAGCCACCACCGTGTAGACATCATTTTGAAGGCTATGTGGCCTATTAATTTGATAATTTTGTGATCGAAAAATAAGTCGTGACCTATAAAATTTGTGATTTGTAAATGTGAAATTTGTTATTGTGACTAATACACAACCCTGACTATAAATTATATAATATTGTAATCTTAATATTTGATTAATAAAATATATATCTAATTAATTATTTCAAAAAAAAATTAATTAATATCTGATTTTTGAAATAATAAAACTTGTTTCCTAGTTTTGAAAATGTTCGTACTCAATCTCTTATATAGAAATTTTCCCGTTAAATTAATCCCAAATATACATGCATGTGTCCAAGAAATAATCTTCCAAAAATCGGCCTAGTATAAGTGAAGATTCTGGCCCAATATAAAATATCCTTATTATTTCCAAAATGGTCCCATAAACATACACTTATCATTTTTAAAGTCACTGTCTATGGATTGAGGCCCATTAAATGATCAGATGACCTTTTTATATGGAAATAATAAGATGGCTTGATAAATGAAAAATCCTCATCACTGGCTACCCCACAAAAAAAAAAAAAGCCACGTATTTGAAAATAACAGTCTCAAACAGTGTCATCTTCAACCTCTAGCCAAATGGAAATTGACCCGACTCTAGACCTGATCAAACTCATCTTCCCAATGTGAAATCTTAAGTTTAAAACCATACAGTAGCCAAGAAAATGATTTTATGGAGAAAAAAAAAAATGGTCCACAACAATGGATTTTTGCAAAGTGCTTCATAATTATCAAGGCAAAGGTTAGATAGGCTTTGATACCAAATTTAGACTAAAAATCAATCCAAAACAATTATACGAAAACTTATGGATTGAGTTCATACCTTCGGCCATTGATATTGTTTAGAAGCTCTCATTTGTTTTAGTTAATGGCACTTTCAAGCTCTCAACACACTGAAATTGATGGTGTATAATGTATATTTTCGTTGGTGGAACTTAGGCACCAAACCCATCTATATATATAGTCAAAACTCTCATCAAGTTATGATTTAAGTTATCAATTTTTCCAATCAATGGTGGAATTAAGACTCCTATGAATGTTGAAACTAAAAACTCCATGAATGTTGGACCATCAATTGACCGTTGAAGAGAGCGAAAGAAACGGATCTGTAACACATACTTCTTATTTGTAAGTTAATTTCTTATAAATTAATATAAATTAGAAGCTCGTTTGTATTTGAAAGTCATTTACATTATTTTGTTATACTATTTCTTTCAGTCAACATTCTCAAATTTTGCACATAAATCACTCAAATGCATATTTAATTTTGTTTGAAATAGTTGTAGTGAGAAAATGATTAAAGAAACGAATAGACCCCATTGCTATTCATTGCAATTCTGCCTGCCATACTTCACTTCTAATTTGTATTTGCATGTTGAAATTAAGAAAAAATTTATTATTTTTTCTTCAAATTTTGGACTTAATTGTCTTGTATTAGATTTTTCATAATTATATTAAAACTCCGCATAAAAAAGTTCAAAATACAGGGACTCCATCTTTAAAGTTGGCATAAGACCCCCAAATTATCAGTCATGACCTTGGTCTTCAAGCCTGTTTAAGGTATGAAGATTTATGCTGCTGTTTTAGTTTATGAATAAAACTTGTGTTTGAAGCTTATCAATGTTAGTAAATTGTGTGGTATTAATCCCTTGTTTGACAATCATTATTTGAATTTTTTTGTTGATGCACTCATTTTCAATCATATATTCACACGATAAAATATTCTTCACGTAAACTCAAAATTTTTCCTTACTTTTTGACAACAATATCCTAAAAATTACTATTCAAAATATTGTTTTAACCAAATAATAACCATTATATAGGGGCTAAGTAGTCGTATGGTTGAACGACAGTTGCAATATATGTAATGCTTAGCCCGTAAGGCATTATATATTCTTGCTCTTATTGCCTCAAAATCACATTAAAATCCCCATAAAATAATAATAGTAGGATTTAAATTTTTACTTTTTATATTAGCCGAGTTATTTAATTATCAAAAAATGAATAATTTATTAATTTAAATACTACTTTATATTTTTATTAGTTTTCGTGTGTGTGGGTTTTTTTTTTTTTTTTTCATCCAAATTTCATGTAGGACTTGTAAATATAGAAATAGTGGACATGGTCAAAAGTCTATAATTATATGGAAAATGCTATTCATCCAGACTTGCAAACAGGGTAAAATACAGGGTTTTAAAATAAAGAATGATGTAAGCTAAATTTCACTAGTGCTACTCGGATAGACTCACAAACATACTAGAAAACAGACTGAGGTGGAAAAAAAAATTTGACTGAAAAGAATTAAAAAATAAACAAAATATATTAGAAACCCTATTGTTTCTCTCTCCATTTCCTCAACCAAATTCTCTCTCTCTTTCTTCTCGAACCAAGACAGAACGCAGCCCCCAAATCTCTCTCTCTCTCTCTCTCCCTGAACCAGAAGAAAACCCCATTCCCCAAATCTATCTTCCCAAATTCGAAACCGTCGGCAAAAGTTTCCATCGCTAGCCACAATTCCAAGCAACGTAATATAAGGGCTCCGCCATCGCTTGACCCATTGTTTTCGGTCACTGTCAAACCCCTCATTGTCGCCGGTCGTAGTTATCATCTTCATTGAATTCCTCCCAGCAATAAGCGACTGAAACAACCAGTAACTTTGACAACTTCTGAACCAATGGGCTTTTTCCTTACTACAGCTGATGCGCCGACATGTTGTGTCTGCACCAGCAATTGTTCTATCGCATTAATAGGGAAACAGGATATAACTAGCCGAAAGAAATCCTCCATATCTGGAAGAAGAGGTAAAATTCTTAAAATAGCAAAGCCGCAATGTCGGAAAACAAAAATGAACAGCAACAATACGATGGTGAACAACAATATACACACATTATGAGATTTTTTCCATTGACCCAAAAAGAACACCATGCCTTCGCTTCAGGATAGAAAGCCAAGAAAAACTACAATTCATTTTCCGGTAAGCTTTGATAGTGAAAAAAAAAATCAATAACATTGTGAAACAACCCACTCAAATGCCTCTTCCACCTTCATCCGGTAAGCTTGGATAGTGAAACAACATATTTTGACCTACAATAAAATACATTGTCAACGTTCAATAAAGCAATCATAAGAAAATGATTTTTCAATTTACATCAAAGACATAACTTTATACCTTGTGAGAGGAGGAATGGCTTGGGAATGGAATCTTGTGGAATGGAGTTTGGCGTCAACATGGAGTTGGACAAATATGGAATGGCGTCAGCATGGAGTTGTGCTTGATGAAGCTGGACGTCAAATCCTCTATCAAGCATACTAGTGTTGCTCTTTGTCGATCTCTTACAGGTGGTTGACTTCGAACCGGACTGCATGTGCAACAAAGTTATTCTTAATCTTAATTCAAAACAACTCAGCAAAATACAAGCAAAGAATCAAGCAAACCTTCGCTTTCTTCGATGCAGTCTCCAATGGACTTTTTCTTCTGAGTTTCTTTGGCGCTCCCTTTCTTCGAGTCAACTTTGGATCCAATATGCTAACACTCGTACTATTTGCCACATCAGTACACTGAGTGAGAACCTGAACAGTGTTTTGCGCTGCGACATTACTTCCAATACTCGATTTTGTAGACGTAAGCTCTTCACATTGACATTTTATCCACTCTATTATCGCACGTGAACGCCTTTCATCATCTGCAACAAGGTTTGCTAGCTGCGCAAAACCAGTTGACATCTCGTCATATCTCATTTGAGCTAAAGTACTAACCAACCCATTGTAGTTTACGGCAACCCTCGTGTGTGCTCTACGCACATCTCTCCTCCATCTCCGTAGTATGTACTTGTCCGGAATATGTGTGACATCATTCAGTGCCAGCACTGTGATCGCATGTCTGCAAAGTATTCCCTAAAACTCGAACAAGTGACAGTTACAAATAATTTCACATTCATCTCTCTCATAAGACACGGTATACGTCTTTTTCCTCCGATGGCCCTCACACATAATAGTGTCTCGTACTTCGTATGTCACTTTGGAACTATCTTTCGAAGTGGACTGAATGTCACAATACACCTTCCCCGTGAATTCTGCTTGAACTTCACGAAATTTAGAGATGGTGTAAACTGATTGATATTGTTGCTCCATTTCTAATTGTGTTGCACAAGGTACCATCTGCGAGAATGACTTAAAATCAACTTGAAATTCCTTTTCAACCTTATTCCGAAGAGCACGTTCGTATTGTTTGACGAACTGCTTCAACGAGGTTTTTGAATGCACGTAACCGTCGAAGAATGCATTCATACTTTCACTTCTTTGTGTAGTTGACATACTCGCCCAAAAAGTGGTTTTGAAGAAGCATGGAACCCAATGCCCTCTGTTCTCGTATAGTCCAGATAACCAATCATTATCGTGCAACTCATATGTGTCAATTATTGTTCTCCAACCGTCTTCGAATTCCCCAGTAGACTGTGAATCATATACCAAACCATGTATATCCCCAAATATGGAACCTTTATCCACCTGGTAGCCAAATTTCTCTGGTAGCTTCTTTAAAATGTGCCACAGACACAATCTGTGTTTCGTATTTGGAAAAACAACCTGAATTGCATTTTGCATTGCTCTATCTTGATCGGTAATTATACCATGTGGAGCAGGGAAAACGGCGTGGGAATGGAATATTGTGGAAGGGAGAACGATGTCAGCATGGAGTTGGACAAATATGGAACGGCGTCACATGGAGTTGTGCTTGATAAGGCTGGACGTCAAATCTTCCATCAAGCATACTAGTGTTGCTCTTTGTCGATCTCTTACAGGTGGTTGACTTCGAACCGGACTGCATGTGCAACAAAGTTATTCTTAATCTTAGTTCAAAACAACTCAGCAAAATACAAGCAAAGAATCAAGCAAACCTTCGCTTTCTTCGATGCAGTCTCCAATGGACTTTTTCTTCTGAGTTTCTTTGGCGTTCCCTTTCTTCGAGTCAACTTTGGATCCAATATGCTAACACTCGTACTATTTGCCACATCAGTACACTGAGTGAGAACCTGAACAGTGTTTTGCGCTGCGACATTACTTCCAATACTCGATTTTGTAGACGTAAGCTCTTCACATTGACATTTTATCCACTCTATTATCGCACGTGAACGCCTTTCATCATCTGCAACAAGGTTTGCTAGCTGCGCAAAACCAGTTGACATCTCGTCATATCTCATTTGAGCTAAAGTACTAACCAACCCATTGTAGTTTACGGCAACCCTCGTGTGTGCTCTACGCACATCTCTCCTCCATCTCCGTAGTATGTACTTGTCCGGAATATGTGTGACATCATTCAGTGCCAGCACTGTGATCGCATGTCTGCAAAGTATTCCCCAAAACTCGAACAAGTGACAGTTACAAATAATTTCACATTCATCTCTCTCATAAGACACGGTATACGTCTTTTTCCTCCGATGGCCCTCACACATAATAGTGTCTCGTACTTCGTATGTCACTTTGGAACTATCTTTCGAAGTGGACTGAATGTCACAATACACCTTCCCCGTGAATTCTGCTTGAACTTCACGAAATTTAGAGATGGTGTAAACTGATTGATATTGTTGCTCCATTTCTAATTGTGTTGCACAAGGTACCATCTGCGAGAATGACTTAAAATCAACTTGAAATTCCTTTTCAACCTTATTCCGAAGAGCACGTTCGTATTGTTTGACGAACTGCTTCAACGAGGTTTTTGAATGCACGTAACCGTCGAAGAATGCATTCATACTTTCACTTCTTTGTGTAGTTGACATACTCGCCCAAAAAGTGGTTTTGAAGAAGCATGGAACCCAATGCCCTCTGTTCTCGTATAGTCCAGATAACCAATCATTATCGTGCAACTCATATGTGTCAATTATTGTTCTCCAACCGTCTTCGAATTCCCCAGTAGACTGTGAATCATATACCAAACCATGTATATCCCCAAATATGGAACCTTTATCCACCTGGTAGCCAAATTTCTCTGGTAGCTTCTTTAAAATGTGCCACAGACACAATCTGTGTTTCGTATTTGGAAAAACAACCTGAATTGCATTTTGCATTGCTCTATCTTGATCGGTAATTATACCATGTGGAGCATGATAGTGTATGCATTCAAGCCATGTCCTGAACAACCATATAAAAGTACCTGTGTCTTCGCTGGATGCCAAACCACATCCAAGCAGTGTTGATTGTCCATGATGATTTACTCCGACAAAAGGGGCGAACGGCATGTCATACTTGTTAGTTAGATAAGTGGTATCAAACATAACGACATCACCGAACTCCTTGTATGCCTGCCTACACCAATTATCTGTCCAAAATACATTTCTCAGTCGCAAATCGTCGTCCAAATCCATACTAAAGAAAAATCCAGGGCTCTGTGCTTGCACTTTTGAAAAGTAAGTTTGAATTGCTACAGCATCTCCTTCTCCAAGTCTTAAACACCTTACTTGTTCTATGTAGTTACGACAATCTTTTTCAATACATGTCATGTTCTCATATCTATCTGCTTCTACAACAACAGAGTTATAACTTTTATGCAATGGGATTCCCGCTAAATCATTCACTTGAAGCTGCCGTTTCACATGTGCACTCAAGTGTCTGTTGCACCGATATAACCTGGATTTAGAAGGACTTGTTTCATGATTATGGTCGAGGTTTACTGCATTAATTCTCCAATTTCCAAAAGTATCGGAAGATCCAAAAATCCTAGCCTTACAACCCATTTTAACTGTGGGTTGCGGCTTCAAAGAACCGCTACTATTACTGTTTATTCCCCCTTCATGACTACATGTCAACGTCATGTATCTCACAACTTCATCATCTCCTTTTTTTGAATTCCTTTTCTTAACTGGAAAACCCACCACATAAGCATATTTCTTGTAGAAATCATACATATCTACTTCACTTTTAAACAACATACCCACTTCGGGCACAATTACACCATCTCCGCCTGATGTTACACCTTCCACTACATTCACGGACTCCAGCAACTCAACATTATCAGATTGTACTAAAACATCGTCCTGCTTGTCTTGCACATTCAAATCCATACTTTATTACGCTGTGAAAAAAAAAAAACAACATTCATGTTCAGTGCCATGTTTGCAAACAAAAACGTTACTTCATGCAACTTCTTTTTAAACTAAGCCAAACATGTACCATCTGTTAAAAACTGACTAAAATATGGAGGGTGAGTCACAAAACTTTATTTAGTGCCAGCCATAACAGCACAAAAATTCATCCATCTTTCTTTTAACTTGAAATTCTTTTTCCAGATTGCACAAATGAATTAGAGAAAAATAATGGTTTTAGATCAAATAACCAATGACCAGAATAGGGAAAATGATGTTAAGGGCAAAAGATAGCGACGAAAATTAACTCACGCCTGAAATGATGCTGCGGAGTGGAAATAGACAATAGAATTCAGCGTCTGTATCAAGGGCTCAAACTCCTAAAAATGCAATACTAAACATAATTATCTACTGCAATAACATGAGTACAGGTTCGACTAAAAACGGGAGCAAGGCCATGAAGCACTAAACAGCATAAGAAGTACATAAAACTCCTGAAACTGCAATACTAAACATAATTATCTGCTGCAATAACATGAGTACAAGTTCAACTAAAAACAGGAGCAAGGCCATGAAGCATTAAACAGCATAAGAAGTACATACATTGAAATTATGAATAATTTATTACATTCACCTTCCACCTTGCCGGCAGTAGCAAGGAATAACTTCACAATATCTTTAATCGACCACGACAACAAGCTCCTGAACGTTGGGTTTCAACGGACAAGAACAATTAAAAAAAAAATTGGGCTGCTCTCCTTTCACGTTGTAGAAACCCGAAGGTAGCAAAATCGACGGGATATCTACCACATTATCGGAAGTAGCAAAAATGAAAGGAATATCTTCCCTCGACCGCAACAACAAGCTCCTGAACAATTACAAAAAATAATGGGCTGCTTTCCTTTCGCGTTGCCAAAACCCGAAAGTACCAAATTCGACGGGAATTTCTACCAAAAAACCAAGGAACTAAACTTTGTCAATTTGGGGAAACTCTGTCTCCGAAATAGGCTAGAAATGGATGTATAATTTGGTTGGACAAAGACCACTAGAAAGAAATATTTGGCCTTCCCTCCAAAAATTTAGCGAAAAATGCTATTCATCCAGATTTGCAAACAGGGTAAAATACAGGGTTTTAAAATAAAGAATGATGTCAACTAAATTTTTGGAGGTATCTATTGCAAAAAAAAATTAGGGACGAGGTTGCTGGTTGCATTCAATTTTAGGACACAGACAAAACAAACAAGTCTTAAGGAAAAGCTTAATTGAGAAAATAGCAACAGTCAAGTCAGCAGTTCCTTAATATGTGTATTATGATTACAAGTTATTGTTGGAAATGGTTTATTATTATTGAAATAGGTCAACTTTAAGATCTAATTTCAGTGAGATCCATATTTTAGTTTTAACAGGATCAAGCATATTCATGTTCTACTCCGCGAGGTGATTAATGTAATATATTTGTTTATCGAAAATCATTTAGAATTGAATGAAATATTTGATATCAAAATGACTCACTTAAAACTGTAAACTAGTGAAGAATTTGATTTATTGAAAATTGTCAAACACTTATCCCGCATAGAAAAATTAGGAAACTTTGGTATGATTTATATAGTAGAAGTTTGGGAATTGGGTTGGGCCACAATGGGTATCAATAGTCTTTTGAAGGGAGAAACCTATATTCTATTGGGTTCGATCCTTAGCCCACATGGGTGTCGCCACCGTAGGCTCAGCTTGGCACGGCTCATGCCCATGTCCGAATCTGAGTTGTGTTCGGGTGCGGGAGGTCCTTGTACTATAATAACTTTTTGGACAAAATTTATTTAAGTTTTTTGGGCCAAATTCTTAGGTATTTAATGGAATTAATTGGCATATTTTTGAGTAATTTTATTGCCTGAATTGTCTATTAACTGACGTAACAGACATTTGTTAATTGACTTGATAGACTCGATACTAAACAATGCTGTTTGTTCAAGTACAGAGACTATCTGAACAGTATCAACTGTTTTGAAAAGGCTTGAAGAATGCTCGAACGTCCATGTACGTGTCCACAAATAGCCTATCTCGCTATCAGAAAAGTTACATCATCCTCGTTGCAAATGTTCTCTGCTTTGAATCTCACTCTTTCTCTCCCACTTTCTCTCTCATTCTGATATTATTTTCAAAGTGAAAATACCATTAAATTCATTAGAACTCCTGCAGATTGTTGTGCTGCTTCCGTAAAAGATGAAATTCGTTCTATCCTGAGAAATTATTGCTGAATGCCTTTAGCAACTGTGAAGATAGAAAACTCATTTTAAGGAAATATCGAGAAATCGGTGGGCTTGAATTAACATTTTGATCTTGTTGATCATTTCATTACATTGTGCAAGATACAATACGGTAATTCTATTAGCGTATTATTTTTAGATAGTTCGAAGGAGAAACTTATACTCCAGAAACCACAATCTTAAAACTAATTTTCTTTTATTCTAGTTTATTCTATTTCTACTCCCTCTTACTGTTTATCTTCTAATTATATATCAGAAATGGTAACTTTCGATACTACACTCCCTAATACGATCAAAGAAAAATGGAGAAATTTAATGGGCCAGATTTAAGCATTAGCAACAAAATGCTTTTTTATCTGACAACATTAAGTTTGATAAAATTTCTCAAAGAAGATGCAACTTCATACACTAAGGAAGAAAGTGATGTTGAGAAAATTGGCCGAGGTTGATGTATAGAAGCAATCAAATTTTCTACTAGACAACACATTATGTAATGTGTACTGGAATACGAAGTCTGTAAAGAATTGTGGGAATCCTTGGATATCAAGTACAAAATTGAAGATGTCGGCATGAAGAAATTCATTATCGATTATTTTTTGGATTAGAAAATGATTGACAGCAAGACCGTCAAATTTTAGGTTCATGAATTTCAAATCATATTCAGTGATATCTAAGCTAAATGAATGAAACGAAGCGAATCATTTTGGATTGCTGATTGAGAAATTGCTAGCTTCTTGGAAAGACTTCAAGAATTACTTAAAATATAAGTGGGAGGAAATAAAACTTGAAAATATCATTGTTCGATTGAGAAATAGAGGAAGACAATCATAAATCTAAAAGGAGGAGTGATGCATCACATTCGATGGAACCAAATCACAACATTATGGAATGATGTTTCAAAACTAGCAAAAAGATGAAGCATAATGGTGAAGGGCAAACTAGTTCTTCAAAAATTCTTAAAAAGTTCAAAACGAATTGTTATAATTACGGCAAGGTAGGACATTGATCCAAGGTGTGTTGGAAGCCTAAGCGTGTCTAGAAAAAACTCCTCAAGCCTATGTAACAAAACATGACAACTTTTTCTGACAACATGTAAGACATATGTTAGGTCTAAATGTGTTATTGGCAATTCTGTGAACAAAATGGGTTTAATCGTATGTTTGTAAAAGTCAGGGACTCAATTGAACATTCTTGTAAAAGTCAAGGACTTGAGGTGCAATTTTGTATAGATGAGGTAAATTAGTGTTTGAGTCGTTAAAGGAGTCCAAGATATCCAAGAAGATCACATAAGATCATCGGAATGCAATTGAAAGTCTAAAAGATATCAAAGAGCCGCACAAATTATGTTTCGGATTTTCAGTTTTCACTTGGAACACATTTTACACATAGAAACAGTAGGAATTTGGACAAGGCTATTTCTAGAAGAATTGTAGCCCTTTGAGTTAGCTGTTCAACAAAACTGAATCACCTTAATCGGATATCAGGAGAGAAAGTTATGATGAAAATACTAACGACTACTCAGCAGTCGCTCGACTTTCGCTTGACCCTCGCTCGAGCGATAATAACAGAATGGGTCTCGCTAGAGTTTCGCCCCACCCTCGCTCGAGCGACCGTTCTACGCCGAAAAAATCCCTAGTACGCGTTTTTAAGTGTTTTACTCGGCCCATACTACCAAAACACCTTTAGATATAAATACCTAAGCCCTAACACGAATTTTAGGGTGGTTGCTCATTGTGCCTCTCTTGAAAAACATCTTCTACTCCATTCTTGAAGAGATCCAAGGCAAATCAATTGAAGATCCAAGATAATATTCTTCTTCTATATCTTCTTCAAGAGATCCAAGACAATATTGATTGAAGATTTTATCTATGCAATTCTTGTGATCCGGCAACCATTTCTTGGGAAAACATCAAACATTCTTGAAGACAAACACCTGGCTTCCTCAACTGATTGAAGGAAGGAACTCTCTCTTTGGTGGATTGAGAGAGTGGTGCAAGGTGCAGTTACAAGCACAAGAACATGAGGTTCTTGACGTTCCACTTGTGAGGATATTCACTACAAGATCAGAAGACTGTAGGAGACAGCAGATTGGGCTGCAAGAGGTGGACTTAGGAGTCTAGCAGGAGTCTAGAGAGTCTACGCAGTAGATCGTGAAGCTGTGACAGTGGATCTTGATGGGTTCTTTGATTGGCGAATCATTGTAATCTTTGAAGTATCGTTAGTGGAGGTAACTGGCTTGTGCCTGGAGTTTTTCCCGTGTTAGGTTTCTCCGTCAACAATTCTTGTGTTGATTTTGTTTTTACTACTTTCAGTTATTTAGAATAATATGCGGTAATTCAACATAGGATTAAATTGGATTGTATGTCTAATCATCTAGATAACTAACAAAAGTGACTTGTTACTTTAGTTAGATTAATTCCGCACGTAAGATCGAATTGGTAATTGGAACGTACACTTGGTAAATGCTTAAAATTTGAATTTGACGTTGTATAGCGTTCCCGTGAACTTTCTAAGTGTAGTAGCGCGTTCCTAGAACTTTCAACATAAATCTTTCTGTTG